TTGGATTCAAGAGAGGGAGACCAGAGAGGGAGAGACCAGAGAGAGGGAGACCAGAGAGAGGGAGACCAGAGAGAGGGAGACCAGAGAGAGGGAGACCAGAGAGAGGGAGACCAGAGAGAGGGAGACCAGAGAGAGGGAGACCAGAGAGGGAGACCAGAGAGGGAGACCAGAGAGGGAGACCAGAGAGGGAGACCAGAGAGGGAGACCAGAGAGGGAGACCAGAGAGGGAGACCAGAGAGGGAGACCAGAGAGGGAGACCAGAGAGGGAGACCAGAGAGGGAGACCGGCACGGTGGCTGAGTGGATAGCACTCTCGCCTCTCAGCAAGAAGGTCCTGGGTTCGAATCCCGGTCGGACCAGGGCCTTTCTGAGTGGAGTTTGCATGTTCTCCCCGTGTCTGCGTAGGTTTCCTCCGGGTACTCCGGTTTCCCCTACCACTAAAAACATGTCCAATAGTTCTGGCATGCGCCTCCTGTACTGGCGACCCGGCTCCCATCTCTGTGTGGAGTAAGAGACAAAATGCCCAAAAAAAATTAACAATTGTAAGTAAGTAAGTTTTTATTTATATACCGCCTTTTCACTGCAGATCTGAGTCTCAAAGCGGTATATAAATAAAAACTTACTTACTTACTTACTTACCCGAGAGGGAGACCCGAGAGGGAGACCCGAGAGGGAGACCCGAGAGGGAGACCCGAGAGCCTCATAACCTCTTACTAAGTCCACAGCGTTGTTTTAAACCTAATTTAGATCTAGTTTAGATCCACCACATGGATCTGAACCTTCTTACAGCTCACACGCCAGAACAGATCCAAAGTCAAACAAGTAAACTGAGGCTATCGCTTTACCTGAATGATCTACACCAGGAGGACGAACTGGTTCTCCAGAGGTCCCACTGAGGTTTTCCTTCCAACCAAACAGGAACACTCCAGACTACACTCATTTCCTCAGGTATTCAGGTCGAGCCTGGACCCGGGGCCATGAGGAGTCTGGTCCTGCTCTGTTGGACTGAGACCTCAGCCACACCTCCTTCTGAACCAGCCGGACCTCCCCGATCTACAACATGGTCTGGACTGAGACACAGACTCGTGTTGAGGCCATTGTGTAGAATCTACAACATCTGCTGGTGTTTGTGTTGCCACCTCAAAGCTCCAGAAGCACAAACAGCCGAACAAACTCTCCAGTACATTCTGCTGCTTTGCATCTTCTTAAAGGAATAGTTCACCGTTTTTACATACTGACATATGTTCTTACCTTACCTTAGACTAGTTAATACGTACCTGTCTGGTCTTAGTCCGTGCGCTCTGTCATGCAAACGGAGCAAAAACGGGAGCACAAACGCAGCCTCCTCTGTATACTGTATAGGACCCAAAAGGTAGCTCCCGCTAGAAGCTACCAAACTCTTCCAAGTGTTCCCTATTAAATGTATATAGTTACGTGACGTGTTACACTGCAAAGTATAGTAACACAGAAATGTAACAGTCGATTTTCTCAGCGGATAAAACGGGTACTATATTGTGAGGCGTAGTAATCTGAGGAGCGCTACGTCCGCGCACTAACTTCTCTCCGGAGACTTCTCTCTCGCTCACTTCCGTCAATAGAAGCAGCGTGACTTGTAGTACACACAGTAGCAGCGAGAGAGAAGTCTCCGGAGAGAAGTTAGTGCGCAGAGAAGTTAGGAGCGCTACGTCCGCGCACTAACTTCTCTCCGGAGACTTCTCTCTCGCTGCTACTGTGTGTGTACTACAAGTCACGCTGCTTCTATTGACGGAAGTGAGCGAGAGAGAAGTCTCCGAAGAGAAGTTAGTGCGCGGACGTAGCGCTCCTCAGATTACTACGCCTAGCAATATAGTACCCGTTTTATCCGCTGAGAAAATCGACTGTTACATTTCTGTGTTACTATACTTTGCAGTGTAACACGTCACGTAACTATATACATTTAATAGGGAACACTTGGAAGAGTTTGGTAGCTTCTAGCGGGAGCTACCTTTTGGGTCCTATACAATATACAGAGGAGGCTGCGGTTGTGCTCCCGTTTTTGCTCCGTTTGCATGACAGAGCGCACGGACTAAGACCAGACAGGTACGTATTAACTAGTCTAAGGTAAGGTAAGAACATATGTCAGTATGTAAAAACGGTGAACTATTCCTTTAAAGCTTATTGTGGACGACCCAAACCCAACCTGGCAGCCCTCCATTTGCTGACACTCTCAGAAAATGCAACGCTTAAATGTAAGTTATTTTTTTAACCAGGAACGACCCACTGAGATTTCAGCATCTCTTTTTCAGGGGAGTCCTGGCCCCTCAGAGAGGGGGGCTATTGTCCATGTTTTTAGTGGTAGGGAAAACCGGAGCACCCGGAGGAAACCGGCCACAGTGATGAACTTACAACCCTTTCCACCTGAGGTTCGCAGCTGAGTCATTGCGTTGAGTTTTTTCTCGTAATTCTTCAGCTCGCTGTTTCTCCTCTTGAACAACCTGATCTTTCTGGAAGAACGTTTGGACCAGCGTCCTAACATTCTCACTGAACCCCCTGTTTTGCTGTATCTCCCCCTGAACGGCCTGATCTTTCTGGAAGAACATTTGGACCAGTGTCCTAACATTCTCACCGAGCCCCCTGCGCACCTGTCGATAGATAGAATCTGGCTGATGTTCAAACGCACTTCTATCGTTAGCTATCGCTTCTATTGCTATCGCGCCTTCTATCTCTGTCTCCATCGCGCCTTTTATCTCTGTCTCCATCGCGCCTTCTATCTCTGTCTCCATCGCGCCTTCTATCTCTGTCTCCATCGCGCCTTCTATCTCTGTCTCCATCGCGTCTTCTATCTCTGTCTCCATCGCGTCTTCTATCTCTGTCTCCATCGCGTCTTCTATCTCTGTCTCCATCGCGCCTTCTATCTCTGTCTCCATTGCGTCTTCTATCTCTGTCTCTATCACGGCCTCAATCCCACCCTCTGTCTCTGATAGTACCGACTGATCCAGATGTATTTGACGAGATTTCTCTGATAACTGGAGCTGCTTCTGTTGTTGGACTTTCTTCCACTGCTCCAATCGCTCCCGCGCCAAACCTAATGATTGTCTCTTACTGGTCTCAACGGCCTCTAACTGATCTTTGACCTCAGTTACTTCCTGCTGCAGAACCAAGATCTGTTCATCTCTAAGCTTCAGTTGTGTCTCAGTCTCTTTCTGCATTACTGACTGAGAATCTTTCTCTGACAACTGGAGCTGCAGCTGTTGGTGGGCTTCCATCCACTGCTGCAATCGCTCCCTCTCCAAACCCAGTGAATGATGCCTACTGGTCTCTACTGCCTCTAACTGATCTTTTACCTCAGTTACTTCCTGCTGCAGAGCCAAGATCTGTTCATCGCTAAGCTTCAGTTGTGTCTCAGTTTCTTTTTGTGTTACTTCAGACTGAGAATCTTTCTCTGACAACTGGAGCTGCAGCTGGTGATGGGCTTCCATCCACTGCTGCAATCGCTCATGAACCAAACCCCATGAATGCCACCAATTGGTGTCAACTTCCCTTAACTGATATCTGACATCAGTGACTTACCTCTGCAGTGCCCAGATCCATTCATCTCTAATCCTCAGTTGTGTCCTGGTCTCAATCTGTCTTGCTACATACCGAGAATCTTTCTCTGATAACTGGTGTTGCATCTGTTGATGGGTTTCCATCCACTGCTGCAATCGCTCGTGGACCGAACCCAAGGAATGCCTCCTACTGTTCTTAACTGCCTCTAACTGAGCACTGACCTGATCCTTGGCCTTCTGAAGAGCCAAGATCTGTTCATCTCTAACCTTCAGTTCTTCTTGAGCTCGGTTAAGCAGCTCTTGAAGACCCTCCCGCTCGGCCTTTGTCCCTCTTGCCTCTTCTGTCAGAGTTTGGAGTCTCTGACGGCCCTCATCTGCAGCTCAGTTACTTCCTGCTGCAGTGCCTGGATCCGTTCATCTCTAAGCTTTAGTTCTGTCTCTCTTTCTGTCTCGTTTTCTGTCTTTGAAGCCCAGAGACCGAAAAAGTTCCCTAAGAAAGAGTTAAAGCGAGACCGATAGCTCTCTATCTCGCTCTCTGTCTCGCCCTCCATCTTTATTGCTACTGACAAACAATCTGTCTTTGACTGCACCAATCGCTCGTGCGCCAAACCCAATGAAAGCCTCTTACTGATCTCAGCTGCCTCTAGCTGATCTTGGACCTGATCCTTGGCCTTCTGCAGAGCCAAGATCTTTTCATCTCTAACCTTCAGCAGCTCTTGAAGACCCTCCCGCTCTGCTTTTGACGCTCTGGCCTCTTCTGTCAGAGTTTGGATCAAGTCTTTGTCTCTGGCAGCCCTCATCTGCAGCTGGAGCAGCTCAGTACTTACGTCGGTCTGCGTCTGTATTTCAGCAGGTGACGTGTTTGTGGAAACGTGAGCCATCGCTTTTCTGCTATTTTTGTCAGTGTTTGTGTGCTAAGTTAAACACTAACGGGTTAATACAGCTCAGAAATGAAAGTAAGTCTTATCTGTAAATGTCTATCTCTTACTCCTACAGCTAACCCAAAAAGACAAAAAAATAAAAATAAACGTCTGTTCAGGAATTAATGTATTTTTCTTCATTTTGGTTGTTAAACACAATTTTAGTTTGGCATTTCAAGTATTAGAGGTTGAAATAATGTCTTTGGTTACACTTTGGTTGAGCCCTCACTAGTTACCAGCTAATGAACTACTAATTCATTAATTAGCTCATAACGTGTATCTATCAAGTCCTTATTAGTCCTTAATCTACATGGCCTTATTTGACATCTAACTTACTACTAACTGATACTTTCCCATCTGGGTTAGGGTTAGGGCTGGCTTTAGGGATAGGGTTCACTAATTAGCATTTAATTATCTGTTATTTAATGAGGGCTAATCTAATAAACTGCATTTTCATACGTTTTGTCTATATTCAAATTGTTTTTTGTATATATTAAATTGTCTCTTCTTTCCAGAGACACAACTAACTTGGATTTTGTTTGATTTTTTTGCAGGTGGCAGAAACGGTGACGACGGAAAACTACGAATTTGACTCTTTGGTGTTGTCGGTGTCACTTCCTGCTCAGCTGTGTGTCCGAGAGGCGAGTCCTGCTTTGGTTTACAATAATACTTTAACACAAATTTGGCAAAAAAGGAAAGAAACCAGACACTAATCGTTTCACCGGTTTGTGTTTTGCAGCATTCCTGTTGGCTCCATGTAAAGGCTGAAGTGAGGTGGGTGCAGAAGAAGCTCAATAAAAGTTTATTTTTTGGCAGATTTGAAGGTGGCACGTGAGACCTGGGGTGAAAAGTTGTGGCTCTTGACAAAATGACTTTGACCCCCTCCAGCTGTGGTTCTGTTGAAAAGTAATCCATATAAAGAGATTGCATGTTGAATCCAATACTTGTGTCAAAATCAATATCAAACTCAATTTTGATACAAAATAAAAAAGTTCTTCTGACTTAGAATGTCTAAAAAAATTAAAAATGTATCCTGTTTTTTGTAATTATTTTAGTCTTTTGTAATTATTTTAGACCCTCATCCAAACATGTACTGTATCATATATAGTTCTTATTTGCATTTTCGGCACAACTGGGAGCAGAGCAGACATTAAACTTATACTATTTTGAATTTTTAAGCCCATTGTAAAAAGGTGAATGAAGAGACTATTTGAGATATAAAGGTTTGCTTGTTTTTTCTTCCAGAGCCAAGAGTCTGGTTTTGGACAAAGACGACGTCATTCAAGTGAAGGAAGCGTTCAAGTGGGTGATGCAGACGCTGGTCTCCAAAGCACTAGGGGGCGCTGCGGTGCTGTCAAAGGTAAAGGATCAAATGGAACTCATGCATCTTTCAGAATACAGATGTTGGTTTACATCGGAGTATTTCCCCAGAGCTCGTTTGAAGTCGGTGTGGAGTTCGTTCATCCCGACACGGACTCAGACTGCCATTTTCTGTGAGTGAACCTACTTTTCTTCATGAGACTTAAAAATGCTTCAACACACCGATACAGTTGATACGCAAAGCAAAGCAGTGGCTGCAGAGTCCAAGACACTACAGTGATACTTTTAGCGGCTTGGTTTGATACACACTTCAGTGGTCACGGGGACATTAGCAGACTGAGCGAGCAGACTGAAAATACTCGTAAACAGCCAAAACAGGAGCTACACCAGGACTAAACCAGGGTTGACAATGGGGGACTCTGTGCTTGTGAATATATACGTTGTCATGCTCCCGTGACCTTATGCAACTGCTTCGAGTGTGTTCGCCGATGCGGAAATACCGTTTAATAATATAATAAACTTATTGCGCACCTCCGTGAACACATACTACTGTTATATAAAGTCTGTGGAAGGTCTCTGAACACAGACACGCTGCAAAGCTGCATATTGGAGAAGATCTTTACACGAGAAGCCGCTAGCATAACTGTTAGCATCAGAGCCGGCTGGCTACTTCCGGCACTTCCGGCGCGCACCAGGACGTTCTGGTGTGAAGACCCCTGCGTCTGAAAACTAGAGAATGCCCGTCTGGTGAGCGAGGCTTCAGCATTTGAGCGTTTGCGGTCTGAATGCACCATAAGACAGACAACACTAAACACACACACACACACACATTGTGACAACACACAGGCCCAAACACTCTCCGACCCTACACATCTCCCAGTACTTGCTCTGTGCTCAAGGTATCACTCTCTTACGTCCACATATTTGTTCAATATATCTTTTTTAAACATTCTGTGATCAGGTTTGAGCAGGTCTTTACTTCATCTGATAAATCATTCCAAACAGCGGCTCCACTGAGACACACATTGATTTTGAAGTAGTCCTACATTTAGGCACATACACTTTTTTTACTGCCTCTAAGTCTATAATTATGATGAGCATCTCGATTATGGAAAAGGTTCTGTAACTTCGATGGCGGAGTTTTCAGATTCCCGGAACACTATTTGAGCAGTTTTAGGATGTATTCAGACCTGCACATTTGCTCCACTTTAAACGGACCAGGATTCGTTTGGAACTCTGATCCGAAGCTTTTATGCAGGTCTGAATACACACAAGCGAATCCTGGTCCGGACCAAAGAACCGAACCGAGACCCACTTTTTTAGGTGGTCTCGGTCCGCTTCCAAACAAATTCTGGTTCAAGTCGAATCAGGTCTGAATACATCCGGTGTCGATCCGACACAACTCCAAGATACGTGCGCATTTTTTGGGTTTAACAAGCCACCGCGGACAGGAACTGAGGAATTAGCCACGCGTCACAGCGGCTAACTATGATGCTAACTATGCTGCTAACGCTACACAACAACAATGAGCCGTGTGCAGACCTGGAGCAGTGAGGAGACGCTGTGCAACAGGCTTATGGAGTTAAAACTGTTCACAGTATACATTGATGTTAATGGCAGCATCTTCAAACCATTTGCATTATTAAAAGCCTGACACTCACGTCTCAAAGAGCAATATTCCGCATCATGTAGTGAATTGTGTTTTTTGGTTCCTACCTGATCCTCAGCGTCTGTTTGTCCCGTGGTTATTATAGATCCATGGTTTATCCACAATGCTGAACAGGGCCGTTATTATCATCCATAGATCCATGTGTGGGACAGGGCACGGAGCGCACAGACAGTCTCCTTCGGCTTTCTCCTCACGCATTCTCCAACTCTGTTCCAATATTTAAAACAACGTGTTTGGCCTGTGTCATATGAGCTGCTGTTGATGTTGAAGGTTGTTTTGCTCTAAAAAGTGCAAACATAGTTAGAGCAGACATGCTGCACATCAAGCCCTCAATGTTTTCCTTCGGTTCCACGTCTATCCTCCCTGAGCTCTCACTGTCCAATAGGAGCGCCGATCGTCACACGTGTCAATATGTTTATAGAAAAAAGTTCACTTGCAAAAAAGACAGTCTGAATACGAACCGGAGCAAAAGAAAAAAGTTTGGTCCGCTTTTAATTCGGATCAAGCAAGCGGAGCAAAGGACTTTTCAGGTCTGAATACACCCTTAGATGTAATCACATCTGCAGTTTCAGTTTCCCGAAATCTATGAACAGTGGGTTTGAATGATGTCTATAATGGACATTTGATACAATAATAGCCTTTTTTTGTATGTGTTTTTGTTAAGTGATTAAACCACAGCGAGCACTATAAGAAACACATTTATGCAGTTCAAAGTGTATTTTGTGTTTAGTTGTCCTTTAATTCATCTCAGTTGTCTGTAAAGTACAATATATGTTTTTGTCCTCAGAGCAACCACTTGTTCAGATTGCTTCAAACCCACAAAAAACAAAGAGGTAAAAAGATATTATTCAAACAACAAAGCATACAATCTTAATATGAGGAACCAAAGCAAACCGTGTGTCTCTGCTGCAGTCGGTCTACACACGGATGGCCGTAGTCAAAGCTTTGGAGAAAGTTTCCGACGCCCAGTTCCTGAAGTGAGTCTTTCTCATGAATCCAGAATCCCACTTTGTCACAATAATGTAAATGTATTTTATTTTGAAATCTCAGGCATTACCCGTGTCCCCCGCCGCGGCCCTCCTCCAGCTGTGACTCGCGGGACGTTCAGTGTCTCCACACGTCTGTCTTCATCGCAGGTTCAGAAACACACTCACAAACTTAAAGCTGCGGTACCTAACTTTCAAGTCGTGTAGTGAAAGACACTTGGGAGAAACATAGATGTGTGGATTTTATTTTTATTCTCTTATTGTGTAGTTATTTGAATCCAGCACGGTCGATCAAGCCATTAGGAGTCTAAAGCCTATTGAGTCATGTGCTGAATTAAAGAGGACTGTTTTAAGCCTGTTGGTTGTAGGTCTGAGTGCTGCTGCAGCTGTCAAAAGCCGTGCATATGGTGTGAAAGGCAGCTGCAGAGGACACTGAGGGGCAGGAGCAGGACTGAGGGTAATGAGAAGATCATAGAAAGACCAGAGAGGGAGACCAGAGAGGGAGACCAGAGAGGGAGACCAGAGAGGGAGAGACCAGAGAGGGAGAGACCAGAGAGGGAGAGACCAGAGAGGGAGAGACCAGAGAGGGAGAGACCAGAGAGGGAGAGACCAGAGAGGGAGAGACCAGAGAGGGAGAGACCAGAGAGGGAGAGACCAGAGAGGGAGAGACCAGAGAGGGAGAGACCAGAGAGGGAGAGACCAGAGAGAGACCCCAGAGAGAGGGAGACCAGAGAGAGGGAGACCAGAGAGAGGGAGACCAGAGAGAGGGAGACCAGAGAGAGGGAGACCAGAGAGAGGGAGACCAGAGAGAGGGAGACCAGAGAGAGGGAGACCAGAGAGAGGGAGACCAGAGAGAGGGAGACCAGAGAGAGGGAGACCAGAGAGAGGGAGACCAGAGAGAGGGAGACCAGAGAGAGGGAGACCAGAGAGAGGGAGACCAGAGAGAGGGAGACCAGAGAGAGGGAGACCAGAGAGGGAGAGACCAGAGAGGGAGAGACCAGAGAGGGAGAGACCAGAGAGGGAGAGACCAGAGAGGGAGAGACCAGAGAGGGAGAGACCAGAGAGGGAGAGACCAGAGAGGGAGAGACCAGAGAGGGAGAGACCAGAGAGGGAGAGACCAGAGAGGGAGAGACCAGAGAGGGAGAGACCAGAGAGAGGGAGAGACCAGAGACAATGTTTCTTCTTCGACTTCTCTTTTCTATCTCCTCAGTTTGAAAATGTTGATCCAAAGCTGTGACAGAGACCACAAACACATGTATAAACTAGTGATCGTCGCAAAACCCTAGACTTCTGGTTGTTCCTAAAGTGTCAAAAAGAGAGGCCGAGCTCCTACACTGTGGGATCAGCTCCCCATCCACGTCAAAGAAGCAGCCACAGTCTCTATGTTCAAGGCTCGCACCAGTCGTAGTGAGTTCAGGTGGTTAGAAAAGTGTATGAAGTGTGAGGGCTTTTACAGCTGCTACTTCAAGGATTTTACTTAATGCAGGTTATACTTTAGAACACATAACCCCTGTGCTAAAGCGAGGACCACTGTGTATCGGTTCAATAATATATCCCTTTAATCATAACGTCTTTGTCGTTTCCAGGGCGATACAACAAGTTCTGCCGCAGTTTGCCGCAGACGCCGTGGCTCATAAACGGAGAGCGGAGGATGGAGTCTTCTGTGGAGGAGCTGATCGCAGGACCCATCCTCCAAACTTTCAGAGCCTCAGGTAACGCCGTAAATATGCACCGGTCATTCTCCAAACCTGCATTGGTCTAAAAAAAAAGAGAAATTCTCTTTACTTTCAGAGTGACAGGATTTGAAATATTTTAAGATTTTTGTTTAAAGCTGGGGTTTCTACTTCTTCTTTTCTTAAGTATAATATAATGTGAGTGCTGTAAAAGTCAAATATTGTTCAGACCAGAACATGTTTTCTTTGGAAAATGTTCTCTCTCTGAGAGGGGAGGAGAGAGAGCAGAGAGGGGAGGAGAGAGAGCAGAGAGGGGAGGAGAGAGAGCAGAGAGGGGAGGAGAGAGAGCAGAGGGGGGGAGAAGAGAGAGCAGAGAGGGGAGAAGAGAGAGCCAAGTGAGACTGAAATGAACAATGCTTCTGCCTATACCTTTTTGGGTTGCAATTCATGATATTATATTGTTTGAACTCCGTATTTGTTGTGTGACTAAAATAAATAAAATAAACAAATAAATAATATAAACATAATAAACAAATAAATAAATAAATACTAAATTAAATAAGTACATAAATAAATGCATAACTGAATAAAAGTATAAATTGTGTGTTTTTTGTCAGGATGAAGTGGCGCACACGCTCACAGAGTCCAGAGTACTCAAAAACACTAGGCACCCGTTTCTAACTGTGAGTATTGTCGATCTCATCCACATTTTAAAGTATTTTTTCTTGCTGATAATCTTCCTCTTTTTGTGAATGTGTTGCAGTCGTTAAAGTATTCCTTCCAGACGAAAGACCGGCTCTGTTTTGTCATGGAGTACGTCAACGGGGGAGAGGTCAGGGGTCACTTTGGATTTGATTTGATTTTATTTACCTTTTTGGACCAGACACACCCCCAACTGTCTGGTTCAAAAAGACAAATTATTTTATTATGATCAAAAACAATGTATTTTAATGTATTTATATAGTTGCGTTGGTGTTCCGATTATTTTCACAAAAGAATTACCTAAACCAATATGTCACTTATCATTTTTATTGTTCTTAATTTTGCAGCTGTTTTTCCATTTATCGCGAGAAAGGGTTTTTTCTGAGGACCGGACTCGCTTCTACGGAGCGGAGATCGTCTCTGCTCTGGATTATCTGCATTCGGCCAAAATCGTCTACAGAGACCTCAAGGTTACTACACAGTTACTATTACTCTAACTTCTCTAACTGTTTTTGAGCTGAGCATTCGCCAAACTTACAAACCAGCGAGACCAAGGGGGGGGAGAGACCGTAGGGGGGGGAGAGACCGTAGAGGGGGGAGACCGAGACCGTAGAGGGGGGAGAGAGAGACCGTAGAGGGGGGAGAGAGAGGCCGGAGAGTGGGGGGAGAGAGAGGCCGTAGAGGGGAGAGATCAGAGGCCGGAGAGAGGGGCGGGAGAGAGGCCGGAGAGAGGGGGGGGGGGGAGAGAGAGAGAGAGGGAGAGGGGGGGAGCGAGAGAGGGAGAGAGACCGACCAGAGAGAGAGACCGACCAGAGGGAGAGAGACCGACCAGAGAGAGAGAGCGAGAGAGACCGACCAGAGAGAGAGGGAGAGAGACCGACCAGAGAGAGAGGGAGAGAGACCGACCAGAGAGAGAGGGAGAGAGACCGACCAGAGAGAGAGAGCGAGAGAGACCGATCAGAGAGGGAGAGAGACCGATCAGAGAGGGAGAGAGACCGACCAGAGAGAGAGGGAGAGAGACCGACCAGAGAGAGAGAGGGATGGACCACCTTTTTCACAAATGTCTTCCACTTGTTGCAGCTGGAGAACTTGATGCTGGACAAAGACGGACACATAAAGATCACAGACTTTGGTTTGTGTAAAGAAGGCATCACTGACACTGCCACCATGAAGACCTTCTGTGGGACGCCCGAGTATCTCGCTCCGGAGGTAAAACTCAACTGGTTTGACTGGATTTATGTATCTCTGGTCTCTCTCTGCTCTTGTATCTCTCGTTTTGGTCCCTTTCTGTCTGGTCTCTCTCTCTCCGGTCTCTCTCCCTCTGGTGTCTCTCTCTCTGTCTGTTTTCAGGATATAGTACCATGTTGTATTACCTTCTATCTCTCTTTCTGGTCTCTCCCTTTGGTGTCTCCCTCTCTGGTCTCTCTCTGCTCTTCAATCTCTCTCGCTCTGGTTTCTCTCTCGCTCTGGTGTCTCCCTCTCTGATTGCTCCCTCTTTGGTCTCTCTCCCTCTCTGTTATCCCTCTCTCTTGTTTCTCTCTCTGTTTTCAGGATAGAGTACCATGTTGTATTACCTTCTCTCTCTCTTTCTGGTCTCTCCCTTTGGTGTCTCTCTCTCTTTGGTCTCTCTCTGCTCTTCAATCTCTCTCGCTCTGGTTTCTCTCTCGCTCTGGTGTCTCCCTCTCTGATCGCTCCCTCTTTGGTCTCTCTCCCTCTCTGTTATCCCTCTCTCTTGTTTCTCTCTCTGTTTTCAGGATAGAGTACCATGTTGTATTACCTTCTCTCTCTCTTTCTGGTCTCTCCCTTTGGTGTCTCTCTCTCTTTGGTCTCTCTCTGCTCTTCAATCTCTCGCTCTGGTGTCTTCCTCTCTGATTGCTCCCTCTTTGGTCTCTCTCCCTCTCTGTTATCCCTCTCTCTTGTATCTCTCTTTCTGTTTTCAGGATAGAGTACCATGTTGTATTACCTTCTATCTCTCTTTCGGGTCTCTCCCTTTGGTGTCTCCCTCTCTGGTCTCTCTCTGCTCTTCAATCTCTCTCGCTCTGGTTTCTCTCTCGCTCTGGTGTCTCCCTCTCTGATCGCTCCCTCTTTGGTCTCTCTCCCTCTCTGTTATCCCTCTCTCTTGTATCTCTCTCTGTTTTCAGGATAGAGTACCATGTTGTATTACCTTCTCTCTCTCTTTCTGGTCTCTCCCTTTGGTGTCTCTCTCTCTTTGGTCTCTCTCTGCTCTTCAATCTCTCGCTCTGGTGTCTCCCTCTCTGATCGCTCCCTCTTTGGTCTCTCTCCCTCTCTGTTATCCCTCTCTCTTGTATCTCTCTCTCTGTTTTCAGGATTGAGTACCATGTTGTATTACCTTCTATCTCTCTTTCTGGTCTCTCCCTTTGGTGTCTCTCTCTCTTTGGTCTCTCTCTGCTCTTCAATCTCTCTCGCTCTGGTTTCTCTCTCGCTCTGGTGTCTCCCTCTCTGATCGCTCCCTCTTTGGTCTCTCTCCCTCTCTGTTATCCCTCTCTCTTGTATCTCTCTCTGTTTTCAGGATAGAGTACCATGTTGTATTACCTTCTCTCTCTCTTTCTGGTCTCTCCCTTTGGTGTCTCCCCCTCTGGTCTCTCTCTCTTTGGTCTCTCTCACTCTGGTCTCACTCTCTCTCTGGTCTCTCTCTGCTCTTCAATCTCTCTCGCTCTGGTGTCTCCCTCTCTGATTGCTCCCTCTTTGGTCTCTCTCCCTCTCTGTTATCCCTCTCTCTTGTATCTCTCTCTCTCTCTGTTTTCAGGATATAGTATCATGTAGTATAACCTTCTCTCTCCCTTTCTTCTTGCAGGTTTTGGAGGACAATGACTACGGCCGGGCGGTGGACTGGTGGGGGCTGGGCGTGGTCACGTACGAGATGATGTGCGGGAGGTTGCCCTTTTATAACCAGGACCACGAGAAACTGTTCGAGCTCATCCTGATGGAGGAGATCAAGTTCCCACGCACTCTGTCCGCAGACGCCAAGTCCCTGCTGTCGGGCCTGCTCATCAAAGACCCCAACAAACGGTACACACTCGGACATCATTTGACTTTACATGCGCGAGAGTCCCCGGTGTGCGGAGAAACACACGGGAGACTCACTTTGAGACTGTCTTTTTATCTGGTCACAAGAATAAAACTGTTAGCATGTGCCTCGCTAAAAGTCTCAGCCCAAAGTAAAAAGGAAAAGATAGCGGCCGTAAACATAAAGAGATGAGTGAGAGAGGGATGACTGATGAGAAGGATGAGAGAGGGATGAAAGATAGGTATGAGGGGGGTAAGAGATGGATGAGAGAGAGATGAGGGGGATGAGGGAGGAGAGAGAGGGGATGAGAGAGATGAGAGATGATTATAGCATTTAATAATAATTTATAACTTAATAAAAAAAATATACTGGAAAGTTTTTTTTAAAGATCACTGGATTTATTAACTTTGCTACACACACATACGTACACACACACATACGTTCACACACACATACGTACACACACACATACGTTCACACATACTCAAGTACACACATACATACACACACACATCCGTACACTCACACACACACACACACACATATACATACACACATGTACACACACACACGCACACACACACACACACGCACACACACACATGTACACACAAACACACGCACACACACACCTCTAAATGGTGAAGTCCAGGTCTATTGCTTCCCGTTGTCTTAAATCACAAACTTCTTTAACGACACTTTTCTTCTGTTCTTCCGTTTCGTCACAGACCAAAATAAGACTAAACCCGTTCACCTCTTCATCTATTTTCGTCGTGGATATTCTGGTTTCACGTTTGATTTCTGTTTTTGGTTCAGACTCGGCGGAGGACCGGACGACGCCAAGGAGATCATGCGACACAGTTTCTTCAACGCCGTCGACTGGCAGGACGTCTACGATAAGAAGGTGACATCACAAACGGCTTTGAGGATCCAGACTCTGGGAGATATTTGTGGACCAGGGCTTCGCTTTGTTATCGCTGCTTACGCAAATGATTACCTCACCTGAAAATACACTTATTAGAGGCCAGAGAGGGGCCAGAGAGGGGCCAGAGAGGGGCCAGAGAGGGGCCAGAGAGGGGCCAGAGAGGGGCCAGAGAGGGGCCAGAGAGGGGCCAGAGAGGGGCCAGAGAGGGGGCCAGAGAGGGGCCAGAGAGGGGCCAGAGAGGGGCCAGAGAGGGGCCAGAGAGGGGCCAGAGAGGGGGGCCAGAGAGGGGGGCCAGAGAGGGGGGCCAGAGAGAGGGGCCAGAGAGAGGGGCCAGAGAGAGGGGCCAGAGAGAGGGGCCAGAGAGAGGGGCCAGAGAGAGGGGCCAGAGAGAGGGGCCAGAGAGAGGGGCCAGAGAGGGAGAGGGGCCAGAGAGGGAGAGGAGCCAGAGAGGGAGAGGGGCCAGAGAGGGAGAGGGGCCAGAGAGGGAGAGGGGCCAGAGAGGGAGAGGGGCCAGAGAGGGAGAGGGGCCAGAGAGGGAGAGGGGCCAGAGAGGGAGAGGGGCCAGAGAGGGAGAGGGGCCAGAGAGGGGCCAGATGGGAGAATGTAAAAATAACTGTTTAGTATAAAAGTATTAATGTCAATCAATGTGATAATTCGAGTAGACCTATTTATGCATTTGAAGTCTGTCTTTGCTGATGTGCGATGTGTGACCTGTGACATAACTTCCTGTCCGCAGCTGGTCCCGCCCTTCATGCCACAGGTTTCCTCGGAGACGGACACGCGCTACTTCGACGAGGAGTTCACAGCACAGACCATCACCATCACCCCGCCAGAGAAATGTGAGAGAAACTCTACATAGACCGCACCAGCAACCTTTGAAAAGAAAGTACACATTGTGCACATATAAACCGCGCCGGAATAGAGGCCGCACCGGAATAGAGGCCGCACCGGAATAGAGGCCGCACCGGAATAGAGGCCGCACCGGAATAGAGGCCGCACCGGAATAGAGGCCGCACCGGAATAGAGGCCGCACCCCACCCGAATAGAGGCCGCACCCCACCCGAATAGAGGCCGCACCCCACCCGAATAGAGGCCGCACCCCACCCGAATAGAGGCCGCACCGCACCAGAATATAGGCCGCACCGCACCAGAATATAGGCCGCACCGCACCAGAATATAGGCCGCACCGCACCAGAATAGAAGCCGCACCCGAATATAAGCAGAAAGACAACTGTTTTAACTGGTCACAACATGATGTATTACGAGTTGTTAGCTTAACCGTTAGCATGACTCATTCACCTTCATTCTATTTTGACAATAAACCAGTGTCCTATAGCTGCTAAAACTTGGAGTCTAAAAAAACAAGTCTATAAACAGCGCAAATCTACCACAATAAAATCCACATATTAGCCGCATCACCATATAAGCTGCAAAGATCAAAGACCCAGAAAGAAGTAGAGGCATAGAGTCCGGAAATTACGGTAACATTAAAATAAATTCAGCCAATAAATAGTTAGCACAAAGAAACTCATGACTAGACCAAATGATCGGACAATATTAAATAACTAAAATTGCCGTTAGACGTTTTTTTATCCAATACATTTGAGACTCCACCACGGTGTCGGATCAGATTCAGTTCATTTGCCATTTGCAGTAAAACCACATTGGAATAACCGTGCAAGACCAGCCCCAGTGTGATGTGCACAGACAGAGCAGATCGTTCACACACCAGAGCGTTTGCCATGTCTCGGTACCATGTGCGTTTGGTCCAGTAACGGTAACGGCCACTCTCCTTCTGGTCTCTCCTCCCAGATGACGAGGACGGGATGGACGCGGCGGACAACGAACGGCGGCCTCACTTCCCTCAGTTCTCGTACTCTGCCAGCGGACGAGAGTGACTCCTGTCCCCCCTGAGCCCCAGAGGAAAACACGTAGCCATTTTAGGAAAAAGTACCAGTGTCCGCGGTTTTTCTCCTTCACACGCCGCAAAAAACGGTGACAAAACGAGTTCATATGAGCCTGGAAAAAAGGCATTTCTGTTTTTTTGAGGACGTCGTCACCGGTCTTTGAGAAGCTAACAGTGGAGCAAGCAGGAATACTTTGTTTAAACTAGAAATATTAAAATTCACCACCGATTTTTTACTTAAGAAAGAAGCAAATGGTACGTAGCTTGAAATGAGATTGAAATCTGCTTCTGAAGGTACTTGGTTTTTCTATGCTAGACACTTGTTAGCTAGTGATGTCTGGAACCCTGCAAAAAATGATAAAATATGAGGCGGTAATTGCTTGAATCAAGTGGTTTTTATCCAAATTTGAGCACATTCTGACTGTGTTAAAACAAGATTTACCAATGAGACAAAGCCATTTAGTGTTATTTCAAGATATATTTTCTTCTATCTTGTTCAAATATGATCATTTTGCTTTGTCCCGTTGGCAAAAGTCAGTCAAAATATTCTCAAACTAAAACTTTTTGCCAAATTTGAGAAATGTTGGACTTTTTTTCCCATCTCTTTTTGCAGTGTATAGAAAAACCATTTCACTTTCTTCTGCTTGGCGTGCGTCGTTCAATGACAGTGGGAATATCCTAAACCGATACATACATTTTTGCCTAATTCGAGCAAATATGAACTCCTTTTGTTGTCATTTTTTGCTCGGTCTCCAGCGGACGAGTCTTTTTAGGGACTTTAAAGAGGTTTTTGCACAGTGGGATTCGCCCCACACTAAAAAATGTCTCCTACTTTTTCAGCGCTATTTACAGAAGGCAATGTTTTTTGTTATTTATTTTTTGTCAGTATTAAGTCGTCCATCCTTCTGCCCCCTGTTTTTTCTCTCATCAAATTTATTTTTTTGTTGTCGACTTTTTTGCACTTGGTTTGAAAGAGCCGTTTTTAGGGAACAAAAAACCAAAAATGTTGCCTTACGTGTGTATCATACCGACAGGGTGTAATCTTTCGTTATTTTTCGGGGGGTGTTTTGTGGGGGCTAAGTGCATGGCTCGTGGTTCACTTGATTAACTAGAAGAATAAAAAAGGAAAGAAAAAACGTAAAAAAAAAGGTAAAATAATTTGTCATGGGTCACTGTGTGCTGTGGATGAGGCGAGTGGAGTCGTGTTTTTTGAAGTTTTTTTGTTTTTGATTGGTGAGTTTCAGCTTTGCCTAAGGATCTATCAGGTCTTATTGAATTCTGTCCTCTGTCGTTGAAACCTATTTATTTATATAACGCTAGTATTTTAGGCTGGAGCCACTTTGTCACAGCAAATTCTTGAAGTTACGTCGTTGATTTGAGTAGATTTTGACACATCTTCCAATGGAACAAGCATAAAATTACTAGTTTTATGTCTAGGTCCAACACAGGCTGTATATAGGAACGGACTATGCTAACCAGCTAGCTCTATGTAGCCAAATAGGAAATTGTTTTCTCCCTCCTCCCTTTTGGCTCCATTCACTTTCATTTGAAACAGTAAACTTCTATCTTATTTATCACTTAAAAAAATCTGTGGTTTACTGCTGGTTGATCCAGGCATTTATAGTTTTTCATATTGTCTTTGTAAACCCAGATACAAGCCCTTAAAATGTACCAATCATGTGCCCAAATCGGGTAGTAAAAAGCTTGGAACAGACCAGCGCTTCTGATTGGCTCTTTGGTTGCTAGGTTGTTGCCATCTCCAAATTTGTCTCCAGATTCCTGCAGATGGGGCCAGTTTTCGTTGGCTTCCTTCTACGGTCTATGGTCTGACACAGATTTTAGTCGATAATATGAATCCAATATGAGAGAACACAAATAAGATTTTAGTGGGAAAAAGAATGCTAACTTTTCACAAATTCGGTCCAATTGTGTTATTTTACCTCGCAGTGAAGTCTTTTTTTTGTGTCTTATTTGAATGGCCCAATCAAGAGATCTGCTTAGACAAATTCAAAAAGGCTTTCCTAGATCTGTAGAGATAGCTGTTAAACTTTATGTAAATCTACTGAGCAATGTTTTACTTTTGAATGAGAAAAAAGTTGTTGAAATAGTCTTAAAACTGTCTTAGTAAATATCAACCCATTTCTGTTACCATTCCGCAGTATATTTGCTTGTATGTCGATTTAACTAAACTAGACCGACTTTGTCACTTTTAAAAGACATGCAAAACTCCCGTCGCAAGACCTGGACTCCATCCTCCTTTGGGCGAAGCTGAAACCACACCATAAATATGTGTCTATATGTTTCGTACGTGTACAATAATAACACTAAAACTGCCAGTTACTGCACAGTTCACTCAGGATCCAGAGCACAACCTCATCCACTAAAAGTTCTATTTCCACTTTTTCTCTGCTTCACACAACTGTTACCTCTTTGTTAAACGATACAGTGACCAGATATTGCTATCAGAGGCTATATATAAATATAAATATATATAAATGAGACTTAGACATGGGACAGTGATGCGTTTGAGCGGCACATGACGAAATCTGTGTTTTGGACGTTTAAAAGAGCAAGTTTTGTCCGTACGTGCACATCAAAATCTATGTATCGGAATTCAGGAGTTGCCTCGAAATTACTTGCTTATGATTGGACCAAATAATGAGAGATAATGCAAAAATATTAAATGATTTTCTTGTCGTTAAAGGAGATATCATTAACTCAAATTGTATTTTATTTTTGAGAGAATTCATATTTCTGACCATTGGACCCTGTACTCTTATGTACATTATGTATTTTTCATCAATAATACATCCTCCCCTTGGTATATCTCCAACCAGTAAGATTTGATGGAGGAGAAAAGGTGAACCAATAACAAGGAGTCTCAAAGATTTTTGTCCAATCAGGAGGCTGCATAGGCGGGTCTAACCAGTTGTTGTGTATATATATGTATGTATATTTCTGAGCATGGGAGCGTGTACCATTATGAACAGTAAAATAGTCCCTCCCCTTGGCATAATTCTGACCATTAAGATTTGCTATAGGAGAATGACAAGGGCCTCAAGGATGTGAATTAATTCTGGCCAATCAGAAAGCTGCAGGGGCGGGTCTAACCAGGTCTTCAAAAAGTGACATTTACTTTAAAGCCACATTTGATTGATATTAGAGATAGAAACGAAACACAAAATCTGGAACAAAAGAGAAGTAAAATAAGATAAAACCAGAACCGATGTCACCAAAATTCAAACCGGCTGCTATATATTTTTTCTCTAATCGCCAAATTCTTTAACCCAAAACTGCTTGAAATCGGACGATAGATTTTTGAGTGCATGTAACCGTGGTCAATGTTGGAAGTGTTTTTAGAAGCAGGAAGAATTTGTAAGTGTGAAGTTTGAGAGACGAGTTGTGAAAGTGTAACGAGAGCGAGGCTGCGTCCAAATTCAAAACAGAATTGTCCTTATCCTTCCTCTTTCTTCTTCCCAATGATCTTTTTTAAATGTAAGTTTCACTTTCGTAGCTTCAGAACAAAAATATTTAAAACGTACATTCTACTCTAATCCAACCTGGAGTCTGAAAAGGAAGGACGAGGGAGAAGGAAGTTATTTTCTGGATTTGGATGCAGCCCTTGATTTCTGTTTATAGAGAGTTTTACAGTGTTCAGTATCCATCCAAAGCCATGTTTCTACTCTACTCTGCTCTACCCCACCCTACTCTACTGGGCCCTACTCTATTCCACTCTACTCTATTCTATTCTACTCTACTTGGCTCTACTCGACTCTACTTGTTCCTATTCTATGCTACTCTAGTCTACTCTACCTGGTTGCGTTCCCTTTTACGCTTTAGTATCTGGGTCCATAACCAGGCAACCTACCCACAACAAACCAGTATCCGATTTCTGACCAATCACGGTCAGTCAGAACACTTTAGTACCAGCCCAGCCTGGATAAAACCAGGGCCAAGCTGGTACTAAAAAAGTAAAATAGTAAAATTAGTGGCAGCCTTTATAATAATTAATTCGATTCTTTAGGCTACTGGTTTAAACGCATGTTCGTGACCGTGTGTGTTCGTGTGTGTAAGAAAAAGAATCAGAAAGACATAAGTAGGGAAAAAAAAATCAGCTTGGATCTCGTCGTGTGCCTTAAAACCTATTGTCCCATGTCTAATATCCACAAATCTATACGTTGTGAGCTTAAGCTAGCGAGCTAAAGCTAGCATCACAACGTCAACTTTTACTTTCTCTCTCTAAGCATTTAGCAGCCTATGGTTTAGCTGTACCTTCTCTCATGCCATCTGATACCTCCTGGATTTAGTTGTTATATATAAATTACATAACAAAACTAGCAGTCATTTTTTTTCTAGTTTTTTCTTTTACAGACAAATGAAACAACGCTTTTTCTCCTCGTAACTTTGAGGAATTGTTGGAAATCCATTCACACAGGGATCAGTGTGTGTTTGTCTTTTGTCGTTACGTGGGGCCAATTGTGTACACGCTGTCATCATAGCACATAGCTCATATTTGGACGTCCCGGCAATTCCAACGCAAAAAAACGCACAATACACATTCAATTTTTCTATCATCAAAAGTTGCGATATTGTCCATCTGAATCATTGGTAGCAGAGTCCTCCACCTAAAACGTTAGCATTTACGTTAGCCAACTAGAGGTTCATACAATTTGCCTTTTTAATACAAGTTTTCGTACAATCTGCTCAAAATCTTGCGTTGAGGCGACTCGCCCCTCCGCAGATATGGCCCGGAACTTGGCCAAGAGCAAGTAGAAGCTTAATGTAACGCCATCTAGTAGAACGTTGATAGGATTTTGATGGATATTTGGGGAAGGAAACTACATTGAAACTGAAAAATGACTTTTACTCCATAAGTTAGTAGCAAACTTAAAGCAATTTTTCTAGTGTTTTATGAAGATACCAGTCCCAATAAGTATTTTTAACTACCCAATTAATTATCAAATGCAAGTGCTAGTTGGCTTCCTGATTGGA